TACTTCGAGTGTTACTTCCTGGCTCCAGTGCAGATCTTGCAGCCTACTGGCACAGATGCTTCGTCCTGCTGGTGCAGACTTTCTAGTTTCCACTGCTGACCTTTGGGCCTTCCCAGGGCGGAGCCTTTGATACAGATATTCATGGGACATTGTGGTGGGCTCTAGGTCTTCAGCTGAACTTGTGCAGGACATTGCAGTGGGTTTCAAGCCCTCAGCTGTATCATTTCAGTCTCTAACATGTGAACAGATTTCTACCACTCCTCTGCACGTGACTCTTTGGTTGGATATGATAAAATAATCTTATAAATTATGTGTCCTGTATTAAATCTTTTCCCTTGTATGTCCTGACCACAATATTATCCTTTATAGTAACTTTTGTTTTTCTAATGGAGAATCACATGCTGCATTTAGTTGCTATAGATTCTTAGACTCCTTTAATCTGAGACAATTTCTCAGTCTTTTAAGACATTGATATCTTTTGAAGAATACAAGTTTGTGGTTAGCAGAATGTTTCTCATTTGAGGGTTGTGTTTTTTTTCTCATATTTGATCCAGGTTTTATGTTTTTTGTTTGTTGTTTGCAGTAGTGGGGATTGCCTTGTGCACGGTAACCAAGTGCTGTACCATTGAGCTACACCCCCAGCCACAGGTTATAGATTTTTGTCAGAAATGCTACAGTGGTAAGGTTGTACCTTTCTCTGTGTCAAGAGCCAGATGAAAACTTTTGGACAGCAAATTCTGATAGCAGAGCACAGGGCTGCAGGAACCCAGAGAGATAATGTTGCAAAGAGTAAAAAGAACAGCAGGCAGAAAGGAACAGACAGCATGGCTGCTGCTGGGCCACTATGCTATGGTTTTCTCTGCGGGCAGAAAGCCAGTGTTGCAGTTTCCCTGATCTCCACACAAACACTTCCTCTAAGCCTAGCGTTGTCTTTCTACAGTTCATGTGTGGTCAGTTTCAAATACAACTTTGCATGTCTCTACTTCAGTGGGTGCACCATAGACAGGATTGTTCTTGATTGGAGCTCCTGAGCCTACCAGAGCTGTGGCAATGCCATGTGGCAGTCATGGCAACCCCTGCTCCGGGTACTTGCCTCCGACCCACTGTGTACTGACTACTGTGCAGACACTGTGTCTCCAGCTGGGTCTTGCAGTAGGGCCTTTTCCCTAGAACAGGCTCCTGAGTGTTGCGTCTTTATTGGCAGTCCCTTCTCCCTTCAGGCACTCATTTGCATTTTTTCAATCAAGATCTTATTTTCTTCTCTCTGCTGTGTGTATTTTCCCTCCCATTGTATTTCCTATCCCATTGTATTTTCCCTCTGTGTAGATGTTGAAACGTTTTCTAATCTGGAAACATTTGAATTTCACTTGGACTGCTGATTCCCACCTTGGCTGATGGGCCATCCGCACTTGACACTTGTATGCCTGAGGGAGGAGTCAGGGACAAAGGACACCAGCCATCCTTCTTTGATCACGCCTCATCTAGGGGATAGCAATTTCACTAGCAGTCTGAACCCCAGAGCAACCATAGCTCTTTGAAAGCAAAGCAAACACTCTGAAGAAGGCACATCCTTAGAACATTGTTGTCAGTCTGACTTTCCCAGGCCAAAGGCATTTGTATCCTATTTGTTTTTCAAATCAGCTTGCGTAGGTTCAAGTTCAAGTTCAAGATAAAGCTAGGACCTCTGAGCTAGCCTCTTTTTCCCCCATGGTAGACTAGGGAAAAAATTTATTCTGAAGTCCTACTGTGAGGCTTAATGAAATAGTGTATCTATACTACCCAGGAGGAGCTAGTACGTAATGGGATCATCACATTGTTATCTAAAGCTATTGGGGAGACCTTCAGGCATGAACTTTGAAGTTCTCCTGGAAAAAGTTCTGCTAAGTAGCTCCACCTTATACCTAATGACTGAAGCACTTTCTCCAATCATAATTTTCAGCAACAGGGTGGCTGGGATGGGTTGCTTTGAAATGGAGGCTATCCAGATTCCCAAGAAATTATGCAAGAGTTCACCTAAAATATTACCACAGTCCAAACCACAGAGCCTTGGACTCCGCTCTCGGGACATTTGCCAGTCTCTGAAGACTTGGTCATGGCTCTGTAATTTCACTACTTATCACACACACACACACAAAATGAAAGAGAGAGAGACAGAGAGAGGCAGAGACAGAGAGAGAGACAGAGACAGAGACAGACAGAGATAGATAGAGACAAAACAGAGAGACAGAGAGAGGACATGTAGCATTAGCAGTGGGAGAATCCATGAGCAATATTTGAGTGCTCACTGTAATAACTTATGACTTATGGATACATTTAAAAGTTTTATTAATAAATAAATTTTGATTCCTAGTTAATAGAGGTTTAAAAAAAACCAGCTCTTGATAGATTATAGAACTAAGTTGGAAGAATATAAATAGAAATAAATATGAAACAACAAAATTTCTAGATAAAATTGTGTGGTAGTATCATAATAGTACTGGGATAGTCTTCTTAAATAGCACTGAAATGCACAAAAAGTAAAGGAAAAATGGTACACTGTGCTGTTATAAAATTCAGGACTTCTGTTCATCAAAACAAATGCCTTTGGGAGACTGAAAATATAAGTCATAGAGTGGGAGAAAATATTTGTAATCTGGTAAGGGAATTTCATCCCTAATAAATAAAGGATTCCTATAAATTAAGACAATTGCAAAAGAAAATGGGCAAGAGACTTGAACAGAAGCTTTACAGGCATAAAAATGGTACTAAAGGAGCGGAGATGTAGCTCGGTGGCACAGTGCTTGCCTAGCACGCTGTAAGTCGTGATTCGATACATATTATTGCAAAAAACCAAAAAGAAAAAGAACAAACATAGCAACAAAAAGATCGGTGTGTAAACAACAGACAAAAGTATGCATATGTACTTAACTTATTATTCATCAAGAAAATAAAAGTTCTACTACTTACCAATTGGAAAGGCTAACACTTATAAAAAATCAATAACAAATGTTGATGAAAGTATGGAATAATCAGAACTCATATACATTTCTGATGAGTATAAATTGGTACCAACACTTTGGAAAATTCATGTAAACATACGGATAGCCTAGGACCAAATAAATTCCTTCTTAGGAATATATCTAATAAAGATTTGTCCATTTGTTTACCACAGAATGCAGGTAAAAATTCCAAAATTCATCATTTATGACAGCCAAAAACTGTAAAAATGTAAATGTCCATTAATAGTGAAATTGATAAATGGTGGCTTACAAGGACAAGAGAGCTTTTCAATGACAAGAATGAACAATATACCATTATATACCATATACCATCAGTAAGCCTCACAAATTTAATGCTGAGCAAAGGAAGCCAGCCACCAAAAAGTACACCGTGTATGATCCCATATGGATAAAGTTTAAAACCAGGGAAAAGTAATCATGTTTTAAAGTCAAAGGATTAGATGCCTCTTGGGACTGGTGACAAAGAGGAGGCCTGTGGAGGACTCCTGAAGTGCCGGGCATGTTCTATGTCCTGGTTTGTCTTCTGGTTAGTTGAATGTTCACTGGCTGCAAACACAAGCAATTGCACACTTTCAGACCATGAAATTTCCACGTGCATGTTTCACTAAACTAAAAGTTTATAACTCAAAGCAAAGAAAAGCAGTAAAGCCCTTGATTTCTGGTCAGGATAGATAAGCTCATGGCAGTCTCACATGAACATACAGAGTATGCTTGAACAGGAGGGGAAGAATGGAAAGGATAAGAAAAATCAAGGGGAAGGGTGGGTACAGTGGGGCAAGGTGAATCTGGAGAACGGCCAGACCTCTTCGATCAAAGGCACTAGGCCTGGTCCCATATGACGGGTGTTCCTACAGGGAGAAGAGCATGGTCACAGTCGCTCACCACGAGAATACCATGCAAAGATACAAGGGAAACATAGCTATTTACAAGCCAGAGAGAGAAGCCCTCAGAAGAAACCAACTCCACTGACAGTTTGATCTCAGATAAACTACTGTTATTTATACCTCTCAGTCCTGGCACTTTGATGTGGAGGCCTGAGACAGTGAATAGATCCTCCCAGCCTTAATTCCCCTTGGGCATTTAATGTCTTTTTGGTCTGAGGACATCCTGACTTCATCCCAACACCAGACTAACAAGGTCTGCTCATTTCCATTCTAGGCCTTCTTCCAGTCTTGGCTTTGATTGTGCCTTGTCTGGCAGGTCCTCTGCCCTCCTCTGGATCATGCTCCTGATTTCTGCCCAGCTTCTGTCCTAGGTCATTCTACACTTTCCTACCCCTAGTTCTGTTTCATATTTCAGCTCTAAGCCAGGAAAAATGCTCACCAAGTCACCAGTACCAATGGGTCTTCCTGCCTGGAGCTCTTATCTGGTAGGTTGTATGGTGCTTGGCACTCATTAAAAGTCGGCACACAGTGGGAGTAAGGCTAAAGCACTTTAGAAGGTGACAAGAGAGGTCCTACTCCCTTTTCTTCTACTATCCACTCCATAGACTTCCCATAGGTTGATAAATACCATTATAACCCAAATCAGAAGGAATGATTTGGTTCTCTGGTGGGTCAGTCAAAAAGACAAATGTTGTCCAAGGGGAAGAGAAAGCCAGACTCAATGTGATCTGCACTCAGAACCATGGCATGTCCTGTCTTTACTAATCTTCACAGAGAGTCAGGGAGTCAAAGAACTATTTAAGGGAGCAGCCCCCCCCCCCCCGAGATAGTAGACAAACAAAGCCCCTAGGCTTAGGAGGGTGGCTGGGGGTCTCTGTTGATATGGCATGTCTCACCTGAAGTTGCTTTGGGGGAACTGTTTTGAGTAAGATGCTACCAGGCCATTCCATAGCTGAGCTCTTTGGCTCCCTTCTCACAATAATAAAAATGCGTATATCCTGTTATCATTTTAAAAGAAAGTGGATATTGAAAAGCCAAAGCTCACATGGTATAGCATACTGAACTTCAGGTTTTTCAAAAGGTTGAATCTGGATGAAGACAAACAGTTCGGACTCACCTCGATGCACATCTGATCTGCAGAGGTGATAACTTCACAGCTGGCTGAAAGCAGCACCGCCAAAAAGATGCAGCTGACATCTGGAGCCATCCCAGGTCTAGGTACCCACAGCGCGTTGGGATCATCTAATGCTTGCCTTGCGGTTTAGTAATTCAGTCAGGCTCTGATGGCCCCAGCAACTTTCAAGTCAGAGACTACTCTAATAGGCGATCTTGGAACAAGGAATTCACTGACTGTTCAGCATTCAGTGGCTCTGTGCTACACTAAAAGGGAAGTTCCTTTTGCATACCAACCATCTGTCCAAAAATAACTGTGCACCCAGCCCCGGCGTGGCCCAGTGCACTTCCTGGCGAGCATGAATCAGTGGTGCACTCCTCTCGGCCTCCCAGGGTGATGCTACTGACAGGCTCCATGGCAGCCTCAGGGGGTGGGTCTTCTCCAGCAGCAGCCAGGCATCCTCCTGCAGCTCACTCTCACTCTCACAGGAGGTCCCTTCCTTAGTTTCCCTGGTGAATGATTAGAAGGTGTGGCAGGGCATGGTGACAGGACAGGGCCTTCTGTGGGAATCGGTAGAAGGGCTGTGGAGCCGAAACTGGAGCTGGAGCCAACCAGTGTGCTGTGTAACGGGACTCAGCCGCTGCCTGGGTTATCTCTGCTGTCCCCGTGTCTGATCTCTGTGCAGGAGGAAGATTCATCCTTCTCCCCACCTGGCAATTCCAGCCTGTTAAACAGGGTGGGTGAGATCCCCTCTTGTTCCCTCCCTTGTTTGATTAGCCCTTCAGGTAAAATAAAGCAGCCTGCCAAGGAAGCCTCCTTCAACTCTACTTCTTCTCAAAGATATCTCTGCAGCACGATTGTCTTTGCTTTCCTATGGTACAAGATGTGGAAATGATTAAAGAAAGTCAAAGTTGAAACATTTCCTCCATGGGCTGACTTTCGCTACCTCAGATCTTGTCTGTTCTGTTCTCCAACCATCTGGCATATGCGAGATAGTTGCTGTTACTATTCTCCGGCTTCATTTCCAAGTAATGTGTTCTTAGTTTGAGATCTGCCAGTGCCTTCAGATACTATAGGCACATAGCGTTACTACCAGCAGTACAGTGCTTAAAATAGTTACCACTGATTGAGTGGTTACTATATATCATACACCAAAATAGGCCAGGCTCTGCTTTGTTTTCCATACATTCCCCCATCCCAGAATACTTCCTCATATGCTATAAGAGAGGTGCTAATAGTTCCTTCATTTTATATTTATAGTAACAGATGTTTAGAGAAATTAAATGACCTCCCCAAGGCCATAAGCACAGAAAGTGGTGGATTAGGGCTTCAGACTCAGACAGCCTCTCTGCAGAGACTGTGCTTCTACTCTCTCCATGGAAGTTGATCTCCCGAGCAGCCAAAGAACAGATGGACTGAAGAATGCTCTTCTTCTGGAGACTCTAGAGCAGATGCTAAAAAGCAAAGGGACTTGGGGAAATTACATACTTGACCCTATATTAGGGCTTTCGTAAATATTTAGGCTTTTGTGGTCACCCTGAAGATATCATACTCATCAATAAAGTCACCTCTGAAGATGCTGTTGGCAAAACATAGTTTAAGCAAATGCAGGCCAGTGACAGGCTGCCTGCCATGAGAAGGCCTCAGGAAAGAGCTGAGGACAGAAGGGCTCTGATTCGAAGCCTCGGGTCCATTGCTCACCTACAGGGTGATCCCTGGCAAGTCATTTCACTTCCCATTTCCCATCTGAAAAGCAGAGCTATGATCCCTGTTCTACTTACATCACAAGGTAATTGTGAGGATCAAATGGGATCATACATGAAGAAATGCTTTCTTAACTTTCAAGCACTACTTAAATATGAAGAACATGAAGCCAAGACTCCTCTGTGTCACCAATTTCAATGTCATGTAAATATCACTCTCAGGAAATCATCCCCTGCCCTAGAAACATTGAAAAAGCATATTACTTTCCTACTTAAAGAAAGGCTTGATGGCTTGGTTAAGGCCATAAGATTTTGTCATTTTCTGAAGCCACATCATTTGCATATGATTTGCATGTGTTTGCATAATGGATTCAAAAGACTCACTGCAAGTGTATAAGAGTAAAAGAAAATAAATGAATATGAGTGACCTTCTGCCATAGCATTCAAATCAAATATTCAGGGCATAATACCCTGAAAAATGAAATAGATTAAAATTTAAACTATTGCAAACAGATAGGAAGATAGGTTTTAGAGTTCAGAGGCAAGGATGAAACCCTTATTTGGTCTCAGGTTGTAAAGACTCACATCTTCCTAAAGGTCACCCTATCCAAATTATTTTCATGCCTGAATTCTTGCCTCCATACACCTTACCCTACTCCTCTCTGCATTACATTATTTTTCAGTCTATTCTGAAATGCCTCAGTGACAGAAAACTTAACTATCCTCCAACAGAATTGTTCTAGCCCATTTTGACTGTTTAAATGGTTTTATCTAATGTTAAACTGTTAAAATATTTCCTCCAAGGTCTCTACAACCTTCTTTGTTTCCTCCAGCCAACAGAGTAAATTCAAACTTTTTCCTATCTGCCAATCATTTGGGAATTTGAGAATATTTATGTTCCTAACTATTTCCCTTTCTGGGTTTAAAAATCTCTAGTTTCTCTAGCTGTGTTACACATTCATGCATTGCAATCCATACCAGTTTATCTAAACATTTTCATGAGGGATGTACTGATTTGAGTGCTAATCCTGTCTTGGCTATTATCTGATTGTCTTTGAGACCCACACTGTCTTAACTTGCTCATCTGTAAAGTGACAGAATTAGACTCATTTATTTCCAAAATACTCCTTCATTTAAAACTCCATTACGCTATTTCAAAACTAGATTTTCAACTTATTTATGTAACAGAGTTGTTAGCCTGAGCCAATGAAATGAAGTTACACTTGCTTTTGTTGACAATCTGCTCTGTCTTTCTCCCTCCAGATGGTCTTGCCCCTTCTTGGCAAAGAAAAATAGAGAAGTTTAGCTGGAGCAGTGGGTACCATGATTGTTGTGATCCCAGTTCAGTGTCATTAAGGGATGGAGCGGCCATCACCCATGCTAAGTGCTATGTCTTTCAGATTCTGAAGAGAAAAGGGATGAGATGAGACAAGGCACTGGAAGCTCATTTATTTCTACTAACTAATTGCCACATCTATGGAGAAATAGTAGATTTGTGGGCTGCAGAAGCTTTTGTAAAGGTCAAACATCCTTACAATTGCTACTAACATAGAATTACAAGCAAATTTCCAGTCACTTTTTGTTGCTCTATGTTCTATCAGGTTTCTCTGTGGTTTATCTTCTGTGCTCAGCTGTTCTTCCACGAGTGGCCACAGAGAACTGGCTGATGTCATGAGACCTGCGTGAGTCCCACATAGTCACCTTCTTGTGTTGCCATGTAATTATAGTCTGGGAGTGATTTGAGGGTTCTTGTTTGGTCCTTCAAATGCTTTTCTGGTGATTACTCAAAGCCTTATTTATTTTCTTCCAAGGATGCGCAAACTAAAATATGCTTTTTGTGATTCAAAAGTAACAAAGAACTAGATGTATGGTTTCTATCCCAGTGAGCCCCACTTAATGTTAAGCAGACTCACTATTTTCCCCTCGGTCTATTGAGTTTTGGTTCTGCTTTTGACTCACATCTGCTTTCTCTGCCTTCTACTTCCACCTCCTCATGGTTAAACCACTAGTAACTAAAATTCCACTTGAAAATTTTAATACATTCTATGGTTGATCTTACTCTGCATCGTTATATTTAGTAATACTTGTCCAATTTTTTTACCAAATTATTATGACAAGGCACAGAACCATAGAAGTCTAGAGTAAAGTCCCCTTTGAAGTGATCGGCCACCTCTATCTGAGTCACTTTCCTCATTGCTGGAACAAAAATACCTAACATCTGAAATTTAAAGAAGGAAAGGTTTATTTTCAGTTCACCTTTTAGAAGTTTCAATACTTGCATGGTTGCCTCTAAGTATAGTGGAAGGGTCTGGGTGAAGGAAAGTCCCTCTCCTCATGGCAGACAGAAAGGAGAGAGGGAAGAGAAGATAGAGGGGGAGGTCATGGCCTCAGTGACCCACATCTTCCAGCCAAATGACACCCCACTTCCTAACAGCAAGTCAGCTCTAAACCAGTAATCCAGTCACATTCCTAAATCCCCACCGCTGAGTTCATAAGGGTTTGGGGGCACATCTAGATATAGCTGGAGAGCTCCTCATGGGCACACTGGACCAGTACGCTGGGTTACTCTGATGCTGTCTCTGTCATGCTGCAGAGATGCTGCCTTGGCAAATGACAGCATGGATGTGGTCACCAGACAGACAGAGCAGATTATGCCGATGTCTTCCTCATCACTTGAGAGGGATATGACTCTCTTCGCATCCTGCTCGATTTTGTTCAGAAGAAGACTCCCCCTCCACCCTCCTTCAATTCAAACTGATGAAAGGTAGATTAACAGGCAAAAATGCATACAAATTTAATTTTCTGTTGGTATTTTTTTTATGTGGCACAGGGTGCTCTGTAGGGAATAAAAAAGACTTCAAAGAAACATTTAGACCCAGGGTTATATATCATTTTAACAATAACTTGTAAGGATGCAAGGAGACAAAGAAATAAAGGGCTGGAGCTAGGAGGACTATGCATTGGAAAGTGACTAGAAAATACATGGGGACTAATGGAAGATACGGGGTGGCTCAGAAAGTCTGTTTTGATGTCTATCTTCTAGTAGAGGGAAGGCACATCTCTCAAGGGAATTCTGTGCCCTGTTTTAAGGAAGAAATGAGGAGGACTGAGTACCTGTATGGCCTCTGTTCTGTCTCAGTTAACTTCATCTCAAAATCATCGGGTGGCATATTTGGGGCAATGTGTTCTGTCTGCTACTAGAGGCGATGCTGTCAACAGTAACCACAACAGAGCAGGCCCAGTGTTTTCAGACAGCTCACTTTGGTCACAGAGAATACTTAAGGTCTTTCCACACCTCAAAAACAAAGCTTTTTTGGCTTCTATACACAGGGGAAGGGAAAAATGTTTCCTTTTCAGATCCAGGGACAATTTATATTTCCTGCCCCAGGATTTACCTTTTGCCAAGATGACTGATACTGGATATTCATTCTCCGGGGTCCTTGTTACAGATAATACTAATTAAAAAAAACTGTCTGATGTTGGAACATTTTACCAAATCTGAGTTTCTCTTTCTTTCTTTCTTATTTTTTTTTTAGTGGTTATCTAGCTATCTGTATGAGTAGCATATTAGATTAT